TTTTTAGATTGTAAGATTTTTTTGAGATAGTAATGGTTTAAGTGATACAAGTCTAGCCTATACTTAACCCATAGCTGGGGAGAAAAGAGGTGGATTCATAGCTTTGCCAAGGGTATTTGCGCGTAAGTGGATATAACGAACAGAAGGGGAATTAGAACTCGGCTCTTCCGATTGACAATTCCATTACACCACCCGCACTTAGTATTCCCAAGCTGTCACCCCATATAGGTAATGACAAGGCTTGGCGTTGCTTAACTTCGGTGATCATACAGGAACAGTTTTTTAGAATCTATCTATCTATCTATCTATCTATCTATCTATCTATCTATCTAAGTCTGTTCATATCTATCTGGCGAGGCTTGACGTTGCTTAACTTCGGTGATCATACGGGAAACCGGTGCTTTAACGTGATGTGACCGTACGTTTATTTAAAGAGTGCATCCCTTAATAATTTTCCGACGCTCCCTCAGAGTCCTTGAGGCGCCTTCACTCCTGGTAAACATACAAGTGACAAACTCTGCAATATTCAACTGGGGAATTCATACCGCTATCGAATGCAGAAGTTGAAACGATTCGTCCCTGGAAGCAAGTACCGCCCGTTCCCCACGCAGTGATCCGTCTAATAAAGCCCAGACATATTCAGTAGTGTTCCATGGTAGAACTCCGGTAGCCGTCGCCCGACAGTCAATGCTATGGAGTGACCGGACAGTTAGTTGTTCTGTGACTCATATCGATAGCTATTGCAATAACAGAAGCCTTCAGTGTTGGCTTGCACTCCACAGACCGCTGACAAGTTGGGAGACACCTGTCTGAAGGTCTAGGTCGCCAAGAACGTGACAATACATATTTCTTCCTTCTAAACTGAGCGATGACTTTCAGCGTAGCAAGAAGGGCAAATCAATAGGGCCCCTAAAAATTGCAGGATTATTTACTTACGTATCAGCGTTCTAAGATCAAACTGTCAATCCTTAATCGTCTAACAAGGATGACCTGTTCGTATTTAAAAATGCTTATATATATATATATATATATATAGCCACTCGTATTCGAGGATATCCGTCTACTATTGCAGGCACTCGCTCAGGCACATTCGTGTTTGTTCAACATCCACACCTGTGGTTTATACTATCCTGAGCAGACGTTAGTTACAGTTTCTGGGAGAGAGCGTGTTATCTAGCGTGATCAACAATTTGAACAACGCCAGCACGCTCAATACCTCGGTCACGATGACTTGTGACTTCGTGCTAGCACAGCTCTCGGCGGCTCCCAAGTGTTCCGTCTACCCAATTTCACTCACAACGCGTAGGTCAACCAGTTTCTATGGTTTTCGCCCCACTTCTCCAGACCGATAACATCAGAATGCTTCCTTCCTGACAAATCGACCATGGTGAGATTCGAACCCGGGTCTCATGGTCAGAGAATGTCCTAACCACGCGGCCACGCACCCACAGCAGGATAGGCAGCAGGAAAATCTGGTCCATTTAGCTTTGTTTTGTAACCAGTCTTTGAGAATGACAAATCTGAATTGAAAATCGATTGAGCCAAGAGGTTGCAACTTCATCCCATAAAAACCTGCTTGCTACGAAAACTACAGCACAACACCTTAAACTGTAACCCTAAATAGGGGACAGTACTTCTTCTTCTTCTTCTTCTTCTTCTTCTTATTATTATTATTATTATTATTATTATTCAAACCTATGACCGGGTTGAATCGAAGCCGAGCACCTGACCGGCTTTGTCTACATATCTATTTTGAAAGATGGACAGGTATTCATTCTTGAGGACAGTACAGGTTTTATTATTTTTTATTTTTCTTTGATTTCTGATGTGTACTCATTTCTTTCCGGATCCCGCCCAGGGACCTAAAGTTAGAAATAAAAAAAAAAAAGAAAAAAAAAAGAAAGTTAAAAAAATTACATAGACAAAGCCCTTCGTAAGATGTGGGCTGTACTCGTAAGAACAATTTTTTGTATTTCTTTAAGGCATGGGCTTCCAGGGATTCCTTCAGTTAGTCTAGTGAAATCTTTTCCAACCAATCCGAGGGCTCCAACTACAACGGGGATTGTTGATGTTCCCATTATTATTATTATTATTATTATTATTATTTGCGTTATGTTAAGCTTCCTGCTTTGTATCCTGTAGAGTCTGGTTGTAAATTATGATCCTTAGGCCCTATAGGAGAATTGACATTGATAGCACTTTTCTTAGTATATGGGATGTTCCTAGTAGGGCGATCTTTTCGGCAACTTGCATGTTACCTGTTAATTAAATTGTCCATTCCTTTTCTCATGAGGCCCAGAACACTGACTACTATTTGTATAGTCTTCATTCCCTACATCCTGTTAATCTCGATTTCCAGGTCCTTGTATTTGGACAATTTTCCCTATAAGGTCTGTTGGTACTTATTATTATTATTATTATTATTATTCAATCCTATGACGGGGTTGAATCGAAGCCGAGCACCTGACCGGCTTTGTCTACATATCTGTTTTGAAAGATGGATAGGTATTAATTCTTGCGTACCATATCTTGGACAAGTAGTCCTAGCGAAGCGAATCCCTCTTCAGGTTAAACCACAGCCGATGTCCTCCAACTTGACGCTTCCCATTAGTCATAGACATGTGGCAATTGTTTGGACCGGTGTAACATTCTGCCCTGGTCAGTGACTCCCTCTAGGAAGCTCTCCGTTAAGCGAACAAATCATCAACGCACTGGTTATATATTTAGGTAGCCGGTGCAGTGATGGCCTCGCCTCTCTCTTCATCTGAAAAGCCTGGTTGGGGGACCGGTTAATTCAGCTATGGCCTGGCCATGCGGTAAAAAGTATTGGCTGATATAGTGTCAGTAGCTCTCGCAGCTGACGTGACCCGATATTATTACTGCATTATTGTTTGAGAATATATATATATATATATGATAGAAATTAGCAGTGTTTAAGTTAATTATAATTAAGTAATTCATCGAGTCTAGAAGAAGCCTCAACAAAATGCAGAAAGCACTTGACGGCCTTTTCGTTCTATATTTGGGACTCATCAGCAGTGCGCATCCACTACCGAGAATTGAAACCCGAACAGTTACGTTATCAGGCAAATGTCATTCTGTTCGTGTCATTTGGAACAGTTGGTATGACATTTGCCTGATAACGTAACTCTCCGAGTTTCAATTCTCGGTAGTGGATGCGCACTGCTGATGAGTCCCAAATATAGAACGAAAAGGCTGTCCAGTGCTTTCTGCATTCTGTTGAGGTTTCTATCAGACTCGATGAATTACTTCATTATAATATATATATATATATATATATATATATATATATATATATATATATTCACGAGAGTAATATATCCTATTTATTATAATTAAATCTACAACAGATAGAGGAAAACTAGTACCACCGTTGGGCAGAATATGTTTTCAGCTACAAGCATCCAAATCTGGGGCTATCCATTTCCAACTGTGATAAACAAGATTTTTTCATTTCCTAAGTCGACATCAGTGCAGGTCAACCCTGAATGAAATTTTCCACGCAGTTGATGTCGCCACTATTAAAACATTGCATAATCGTGTTAAGTGTGCCTAACTGTGCTCACATCCACTATATGGTATCCGTAAACATTTGGCAAACATCAATAACCGTCTACGGGCGCAATCAACTCTGTAAAGAGCAGTTCCATGTCACAGTTCGGTTTCACACATAATATTATTATCTGATGCTATTTTGACAGTTAAGCACTGAGCTTAATTAAGTCGGCCACCTCATCAAAAAAAATTGTTTATTGGCTGGAAGCGTCAACATGTATTGCCTTAGCTTCAACATTAGCCTCTGACTTCAAAGGTCAGTAGGCTAAAGTTCGTAGGCATTGCGGCTATAGCGATCATCATGTTTTTTTTTAATAAGCGAAGCTTAAATATGGCACAAGGCCGAAAATATGGAGCACCAAGTGAGGATCGGACTCACTACTCAGTCGTAAGAGACAATCTTGTTAACCATTACACCATGTTGGAGTGTCCATTGCGGCAATCGTATCGATTCGAAGCTGTGCTGAAAAGTTCTCAATCCAACATCAAAGCGATTCATAAAGCAATCTTATTGTCAGTTAATTGGGCACCTTGGCTTAGGTGTAATGGTTAGTAATTACGACTGAATAGTGAGTTCGATCCTCACTGGGTGCTACACACTCTCGGCCTTTGTCCCACATCTAAGCTACGTTTAGAAAATCATTTTTTCGGCCTTGAGCCACATCTAATCTACACTTGGAAAATCAATATATCGTCATTTGATCAAGTTTTAATAAATTGCTCGCTCTGTAAACTTTACAACGTTGATTGGTTGATTTTCTTTAGCGGCATGTCAACATCTCTATGGGTTATTTAAGGCTGGAATCTAAATATTTTGAAACCAATTTTATGGCTTCAACTGAATATATTTCGAGGGCAGTTGTAAGTCTTCAACTACAGTTAAAATGTATTGTTGGCCATTTTACTATAAAAAGTATTAATTCTTACCATAAATTGTATTGTCAGTAATTTTTACTATAAATAGATATTGTTGGTAACATATATAAAAATGTATTGCTGGTATTTTTACTACAAAAACTATTTTTATACTTTCACTGTTCACTATTTGCACATATGCTAGGACCCAAAAATGTGCTACTACCACACTGTGTGTGATCATGGCCCCCCACAACTTCCAATCCTATGTAGCGCTAATTAATTTTTTACGTTTTACTATCCCTTCCATTCATTAATTAGCTATCCATTTACACAAACTCGTTAGGTGGGTTAATTATGGCTCTCCACAACTTCCTATCCTCTGTTGCTCTTAGCAATGTTTATCTTTTTAATATCTCTCCCATTTTCTGTTCTACCATCCATTTACACAAGTTTATTAGGTTGATCATGGCTCTCCACAACTTCCTATCCTTTGTAGCTCTAATCAATATTCTCTTTAGTACCCTTTAAATTATCTGTTGTCATTCATTTTCACAAGATTGGGCAATTTAAAAACGGATGTTTTTGCAACATGTGTATTTTGTGATCGATTTGGAAAATGCGTATAGTTTAATCGAATAAAGAGGGGGGATGCAGGAGAGAGATAGAGATAGAGAGAGAGCGGGAGAGAGAGTGAAGTGAGAGTAAATGATTGAAAGAGAGGGGTGAGAGGAAAGGTTAAGGGAGATAAAGAGAAAGAATAAGAAGATTTTGAAAGAGAGAGAATGTTTGAAAGAAATTGTCTGAGAGGAGTAGAGAAGACGAGGAAAGGAAATACTGACAGAGGGAGGAGAAGGAAAGCGTGAAAAGAGAGAGAGGTGGGGGAGAAGGAAAGTGAAAAGAGAGAGGTGGGGGAGAAGGAAAGAAAGTGTAAAAACAGAGAGAGAAGAAAGAAAGGATTTTTTTTTTAAAAAATGAGAGAAGAAAATGAAAAACTGAAAGAAAGAAAGAAAGGAGAAAGATTAAAAGAGAGAGATAGTGGAGAAGAAAAGGAAATATTTAAAAGAGTGAGACAAAAAGGAAAGGAAAGTTTGGAAGAGCAAGAGAGGGGGAGAAGGAAAGTAAAGATAGAAAGAGAAGAAAAGGAAAGGAAATATTTACGAGAGAGAAAGGAAAGGAAAGATTGAAAGAGAGAGAGAGAGGGGGGAAAAGGAAATGAAATATTGAAATAGAGAAAGGAGAAGGAAAGGAAAGATTTCTAAAAATAGAGAGAAGGAAAGGAATAATTGAAAGAGAGAGGAGAAAGATAAAAAGAGAGAGAGTGGAGACTGAACGGAAATATTTAAAAGAGTGAGAGAGGAGAAAGAAAATATTGAAAGAGAGAGGAGGGATGTAAATCACGTAAAGATATAGAAAGATATTAATAGAGATGAAGCAATGGCGATGAGACGAAATAAAAGAAAAGATCTCGCAATGGAATTCTGAATTCCATGTTTATTTTTGTGTATTTATGCTATAAAGAAAGACTTTACAAGCATAAATGAAATAACTATTTTAAATGAGAATTTATGCTATATTTCTTTGGCTTAAAGCCATTTATATGTCAGGGATTTATTACTTAAATAATTACTGTCTCCCGAATTAAATGATTCTACGACTTGGGTTTTTTTTTGTTTTTTTTTTTATCGATATACATAAAAATAGTCTGTCCCATTGACGGGATGATTGAAAAATTATTTTTGGAACTTATCAATTTCAAGTAAATAGTTTGCGTTTTCTTATTTTGTCAGTTCAAAATATAGCGCTTGAAAAATATTTATTTCTTAACAACTTTTTACTTCCAACGAAACAAAAATAATTATGGTAGCATTGAATGGCCGAATTATGTTTTTGAACAGAGGTTATATTACTTCGATGAAGACATTTCTTTCAGGAGTGCACTGCATGTCTCTCTTTTCCCGACTGCACATATCTATCTATCTATCTATCTATCTATCTATCTATCTATCTATCAATTTTAGTTTGTTCATATCTATCTATCTATCTATCTATCTATCTATCTATCTATCAATTTTAGTTTGTTCATATCTATCTATCTATCTATCTATCTATCTATCTATCTATCTATCTATCTATCAATTTTAGTTTGTTCATATCTATCTATCTATCTATCTATCTATCTATCTATCAATTTTAGTTTGTTCATATCTATCTATCTATCTATCTATCTATCTATCTATCAATTTTAGTTTGTTCATATCTATCTATCTATCTATCTATCTATCTATCTATCTATCAATTTTAGTTTGTTCATATCTATCTATCTATCTATCTATCTATCTATCTATCAATTTTAGTTTGTTCATATCTATCTATTATCTATCTATCAATTTTAGTTTGTTCATATCTATCTATCTATCTATCTATCAATTTTAGTTTGTTCATATCTATCTATCTATCTATCTATCTATCTATCTATCAATTTTAGTTTGTTCATATCTATCTATCTATCTATCTATCTATCTATCTATCAATTTTAGTTTGTTCATATCTATCTATCTATCTATCTATCTATCTATCAATTTTAGTTTGTTCATATCTATCTATCTATCTATCTATCTATCTATCTATCTATCTATCAATTTTAGTTTGTTCATATCTATCTATCTATCTATCTATCTATCTATCTATCAATTTTAGTTTGTTCATATCTATCTATCTATCTATCTATCTATCAATTTTAGTTTGTTCATATCTATCTATCTATCTATCTATCTATCTATCTATCAATTTTAGTTTGTTCATATCTATCTATCTATCTATCTATCAATTTTAGTTTGTTCATATCTATCTATCTATCTATCTATCAATTTTAGTTTGTTCATATCTATCTATCTATCTATCTATCTATCTATCTATCTATCAATTTTAGTTTGTTCATATCTATCTATCTATCTATCTATCTATCTATCTATCTATCAATTTTAGTTTGTTCATATCTATCTATCTATCTATCTATCTATCTATCTATCTATCAATTTTAGTTTGTTCATATCTATTATCTATCTA